TTCCCTGAGCTGAAGATGGGTCCCCTTTAGGGTTTAACATGCTAACAAGTAGCAGGGTGACAGACAGATTTCCAAGCAGCCCCTAAGGTCAGGGTGGGAATGGTGGGGTATCTTTCTTTCTTTCTTTTATTTTTTTCCTAAGAAAGGTAATTCTCTTTTTTTCATTTTGATGTTGCTTTTTGTTTTGTTTTGTAGCTCCTCTTCCACATTTGACTTCAGATGATGTTGATAAAGCCTTACAAAACTCTCCACGGTTAATGCATGCTAGAAACACAGGTAATGCTGGCCCCGCCCGCTCCCAGGACAAGCTAGAGTCTTGTCTCCAGATTGCATGCTTCCAGGTGAAACCTGGGGCCAGTCGATAATTAAGAAGGCAGAGCACAGTAGTGCTGGTTGGCAGGTACTTCTTGATGTGAAAGATAGCACAACCTGGAGTAATGAGGAAAGGGAGAGCCCTTTGGTTTTTGAGCTCCCCCTGCCTCCATGTTGATTATCAAAGAATTTCTTTTAACCAGGAGATGTGCAGAATTAGTTATTGGCCGTAACTTTAGCTCACATTTGTTGGATTATGATCTTTTGCTCTCAGTCCCAATGTATCCGCTGTTCTCACTCTGTAGAAACTAAGAGCATGTTCCATATAAAGGGACCCTTAGTGGCCTCCTTTATTATTTTTTTTCTTTTTCACATTTTATTCTTAAGGGAATGTTTACAAGGATGAGTGTAAGTTTATTTTTCCTCTTGGCTAAAGTTTTTGGCCATTTGACTTGTCTTGGTTTTACTCTTCTACACACATACACTTGCAAAAGGCAATAGATGATTTTTTTGTGAGCTTTTGTTCAAAGGGAAACTCTGTTATGATTTTAGAGGATATGAAATTGGTCACTAACCAAATGCCTACTTTTCTATCTCTAACCATTGATTCTCCAATTTATTTATTTATTTTGCCTGAGTCCGAATAGGGCTAATGCAATGCTTTATCTTAACTAACCTGCCCTCCTGCCAACCCTGGCTCATAGTAGAAGCTGAATTTTCTATGAGTAAATATGCTCTTGGTTCACATCCATTTGCTCCCTCTGATGCAGACAGCTACAGAAGCATGGCCACGGGCTGCTCACCCTCTGTGTTAGCCTGCAGGGACCTTCTGCAAACACCAGGCTAGGGGTGACAACAGCAAGTGCTGTGAAACCTTATGAAACCCCTTGAAAGTAAGCAAGCCAGCTCATGGTTAGCCCTTACATTAGAAGTACAACAATTTTAAAACATTTTTAACATTTTAATTAAAAATGTAAAATGTGAGTTTTGGTTTGAGTATTATGATGAAATTCCATGATAATTTTGATGTTTTAATGAAAAACATTTTGCTTTTAATTTGAAGTTAAAAAAATTGCTTTGGGTTGGTAGTATACCTTTTCAGTTTAGCTTGTACACATCAGCCTACTGGTAACCTTGTGACCAGAAATAACAAATAGCTTAGACAAAGAAATTTTCCCCTCTTAGGAGAGATCTTTGAACTACATGCACTTCCTGATAATTTCACATTCTTAGAAATTTGTTAACAGTGTGTGAAAGTTTTAAGAAAGCTCTAAATTTGACTGAAAAAGTGGAGTACATAAAAGCCTTGAAAATAGTTAGGGACACTGGAGACAGTGTGGAAGGAGGGGAAGAGAGGGGAAGAGTGTAGGGA